TAATAATAATAATAATAATAATAATAATAATAATAATAATAAAAATAATAATAATAATAATAATTTTCAAAAGAAATTGACGTATCGAATGGGGGATGTCCGTCCGAACGAATAATAAATTCTTTTGTTGTTATTCATCAATATAATAAATATATATATATATATATATATATATATATATATATATATATTCGTTCGGGCAGGCGCATGATCTATCCATCTATCCATCTATCTATCAATCCGATCAATCTGATCAATCCGATCTATCCGATCATATTAAATCTTTCGCGGTTTTTCCGTGGATGAAGTTTTCGCTTGAGGCAAAGAAGAAAGAGAAGAAAAATGAGAAGAAAAAAAAAAAAAAAAAAAAGATAAGACAAAAAAAGAAAAAGACAGAAAGACAAAGACAAAAAAAAAAGTAGAAAAGTCGGCGGCGTAACGGCGGGGGTTACCAGCAAGCAATCGTGAGAACAGAGATAGAGGAAAATTATTGTTTCCTGTGTTCCCTGTTCTCCGTTCGAGAGTCTCTCACACCCAGAACAACAACAACAACAACAACAACAACAACAATTACTACTATCTATTACTATAATTACTATTACACTATTACCACTTACTATATTGCATAAACTGTTACGAACTATTAACAATTATTGCCGTTATTATTTAAACAAAACTAAACGAACTGTTGTTTCTTGAATAAAGAAATAAAATAAAAAAAGAGAGAGAAAAAAAAAAGAAAAAAAAAAAAAAGAAAGAAAAAAAAAAAAAGAAAAAAAAGAAAAAGAAGAAACGAAAAAGAAGAGAAAAAGAATTGTACGATTCATATCTGATCTTACGTGGACTTTATCGTAATAATAAAATTCTTTTCTTTTTTTTCATTCTTCCCCCATCCCCTTTTTGTCTTCTTTCGTTTTGTTTCGCTTTGTTTAGTTTCGTTATTTTTCTTTTTTCTTTTTTTCTTTCTTTTTTTTTTTCTTTTTTTTTCTTCTCACTTACTCACACGATCTCTCACAAGGGTGACCTTGAAGTACTTGGAACCTCTTCGAATCGACCTCAACAACAACAACGACGACTACGACGACGACAACGACGACGACAACGACGACGACGACGACGACGATGTCTTTTACGTCGTCCTTGTGGTCTCGATCTTCTCGAAGAAGCTGAACACAACCAAATACCAAGAAAAAGAAAAAGGAAGACGAAGAGGAGGAAGAGGAGGAGGAGGAAGAGGAGGAGGAGGAGGAGGAGGAGAAGGAAGAAGAAGAAGAAGAAGAAGAAGAAGAAGAAGCCAAGTGAAAAACCGCAAGGTCGAACTGATGCCAAAAAAAAAAAAAAAAAGTAGGAAAAAAATTATTACTCTATCCCGTTTCTTCTTTCTCTCTCTCTCTCTCTCTCTCTCTCTCTCTCTCTCTCTATCTTTCTCCTTTCCTAACCTTTTTCTTTCTCTCTTCCTCTTTTTTCCACATATTTTCCATACCAACTTAAAAGTACTCCAACAATCTTTTGTTGAGATCGTGCGCTTTATCCAAAAGAGAAAAGAGAAAGTCAATGAGAATGAAGATATAAAAAATACAGATAAGCATAAAAAATAAAATTTAAAAAAAAATATATATATGTATATGCATATGTATATGTAATTATATATAATATCGCCCAAAACGGGCGTACTAAGGTGGTACCCAGCTGTTGTCACGAGATTATCATTGAAAAGATAAAATCGTTTAACATGCCGGATCTCATGATCGTGAATTTTCTTTAACACGTTGCTTTTCTCCTGTCCCCCTCCCCCCACCCCTTCCTCCCATCTACCTCCCTCCCCCATTAAAACCTTTCCCACTTTCTCATCATTATCATCATTATTGTCATATATATATATATATATATATATATATATATATATATATGTGTGTGTGCGTGTGTGTTGTTTTTAATTTTGTTTCTTTTTTCTTTCGTTTCATTTTTTTTATTTCATTTATACCATTTATCGACCTCCGTATTGATTCTTCCTTTTCACATAAAATGACCCATATTCGTATATATATATATATATATATATATATATATATATATATATATATATACATATCAATGTACATATATACAGAATCATACGATCAAAATGATCCAAAGATAATATAAAAGATATATTTGGGGGGAGAATCTTTTTAATTGATTTCTAATTGGGACGACGAAGTGAAGAAAACGAACGAATTCGGACGGAATCGCACGTAGAAAAAGACGGAGGTCGTTCCGATTATATGTATGTGTAGATATATATATATATATACACATACATATCTATTATATATATAACCCTGTTTGTCTTTCTACCCTTTGTTTGTTTGTTTTTTTTGTTTAGTTTATCTACCTTCACCCACCCCAAAACTTTCCATCAAAATACAGGAGCGATTTGTGTCACTCGTTTTTTCTCCGTTTTGTTTATTTTGCATTGTATCTTCCTTTTCGTTCTTTTCGTTTTTCTTTATTTTTTCAT